AGCCCGCGGGGCGGCCAAGGCGGGGGGGGGCGGCGGCGGGGCGGGCGGCGGGGCCCGCAAGAGGGGCCTCTTCTCCTTCCTGGAGGTTTTCCGCCTCCGGCGGGCCCTCCTGCACAGCCCGTAGCGGGCCGGGCCGGGGCCGGGGCTGGAGCCGCCGGGGGGGAGCCCCGACCCCGGCACCGACCCCGGTCCCGGCCCGGCGGGGCGGGGACTCGCCCGGCCCCTCCCGCCCCGCCCACCCCCGGCGGGCGGAAGGGGCCGGTCCGGCCGTGACGTGGCGGGATGGCGGAGTCCTACGTGAGACCGGGTGAGGGGGCGCGGGGAGCTTCCGGCACGGGGGCACCGGGACGGCACCGGGACGCTGCGGGTCTGCCCGGGGCGGGGAGCGGACCGGCGGGACTGGCCCCTTGGGAAGGGTGTCCGTGTGTGGGGAGGTGCCGGGGCCGTGCCGGGGCGGGGGGTCCCCGTCGGTGTCCCCTCCCCGCGGTCTCACCGCGCTCCTTGGCCGCCGCAGGGAACCGGGAGCGCGGCTGGAACGACCCCCCCCAGTTCTCGTACGGGCTGCAGGCGCAGGCCGGGGGCTCCCGCCGGACGCCGCTCACCCGCCGGGCCCCCCCCCCCCCCGAGGGCGCATCCCCAGGTCAGCACCGCCCGAGTCCCCGCCCGCCCCTCGGCCCCGCCCGGAGCCCCGGGGGCCGCTCCCCGCTCGGACCCGGTGTGCGGGGCCCTGGCCCGGGCTGACGGGCCCCGCGCCGCCGCCTCTGCCCCGCAGGTGCCCCCCCGGCCGCGGGCAGTGCCCCCGCAGACCCCTCCGCGCCGCCCCCCCGGGCGCTGGGGCCGCCCCCGCTGGGGCCCGTGGGCGCTGCCCCGCGGGCCGAGGCGCGGCCGTGCCCGGAGGAGCGGGAGTGCAGCGTGTCCGCCGACACCGTGCTCGCCCCGCTGCGGGCGGCCCTGGACTCCTGCCGGCCCTCGGTGCAGGTGAGCCCGGGCCCCTCCCGCCGACTCGGATCCCGCGGTGCAGGAGCTGCCTGTCCCCGGGACACCTGAAAGGGGGGAGAGCCGCCCCTGCCCCGGGCGCTGCCCAGAGCTGGTGGGGGCGGTTCCCCCCGCTCCCAGCTCACCTCTGCTTCCAGAAACAAGTGTGCAATGACATCGGGCGGCGGCTGACAGTGCTGGAGGACGCGTGGGCTCAGGGGAAGCTGTCGGCACCGGTGAGGAAGAGGATGAGCCTCCTGGTGCAAGGTACGGGGCGAGCGGACTGCAGCCGGGCCAGCAGCGGGCCCTGGATCGGGGACACCCGTGGGAAGGTGGATCCTGCACCCCCTGACGGGTTCCCTTGTCCTGGCAGAGCTCCAGCAGCAGCACTGGGACGCGGCTGACGAGATCCACCGCTCGCTCATGGTGGACCACGTGAACGAGGTGAGCCAGTGGATGGTGGGCGTCAAGCGCCTCATCGCCGAGACACGGAACCTGCCCGATGCAGCGACGGACGGCAGCGCTGAGACCGAGACCGAGCCTAAGACCGAGACCGAGCCGGGCCAGGAGGAGCCCTGACACCGGGGGCGGGGCTGCGGACTGTGAGCGGGGCAGCCCCTGCCCAGGGCCGCCGGCAGGAGCAGGGACCCCGCTGCCAGAGGGAGTCGGGGCACCCCCTCTGCCTCCCAATCCTCATCCAGGAAAAGGGGATTTTAATCATTGCGACATTTTAGTGGCGATTCATTATGTTTAATAAACAACACCAACCTGCCCCCAGCCACAGTCTGCCTGACAGTTCTGGCACTGGCAGGTCCTGGGGCTCCCAGGGGCAGCGGGAGACAGGATTGCTGGGTGAGGCCATGGGTGCTTTGTCAGGCTTGGCCAAGGGGCTCTGGCCTTGGCAGGGTGCTCCCAGCCAGCAGGATGTGAAGGGAAGAAGCCAGCAGCACCTGGCTGGAGCAGGCAGCGCTGTGTGTTCCTGCTGCACTGGCTGGCAAAGCCTGGCCCTTCTGGCCTCACATTTGGCTGTGGGGTGCCTATGGCAGCCCCAGCTCTGCTGCAGAGGCCAATGTGCCAGCAGTCCCCAGCAGCTCGGCATGGCCAGGGTTTGTGCTGCAGCCACAGCCCCTGCTCCCATCTGGGCTCTTGCCCTCCTGGCACAGTTCAGACTCGAGTTTGGGACCCAAGAGGTGTGGCCTCAGGGACAGGGAGGTCCAGGGAAAAACACGTGCCCACAGTTAGGTGTTGACTCTGCTGTTCCCACCCCACTTGCACTCACCAGCTGCCCCCCACCACAGCTGGGAACCACCCAGGCCTTCACCACCCCCCGCCTGCAGTGTCACCCCCTGCACCCTGCTGGTGCTGCTCAGCCCCCTCCCCGGGGGTGTGAGGACCCCGCTGAGCCCCGACAGACACACACCAGGTCAGCACAGGGGTTTCACGGTGTTTATTGATCAAGCATGAGCTCCTAGGCAATTGCACCAGCCACTTGTGCTAGAGCCTGAGGTGTCACACGTCCATCCCCAGCATCAGAGAGGGCTGCAGCCAGCTGGTCACGGTGCCAGCACCTCCACGAGGCCCAGGAACAGGCCCAGCCATGGCCTGGAGACGGGGAGCTGGAAACTCAGATGTCCATCTCAAACTGGTCTTGATCTGTAAAGGGCATGGAGGGATAGAGGGCCAAGGTTAGGATGGGGCTGCCTTGGGAGACACGGGCAGGCAAAGGGGTCAGGAACTGGAACTGGGGCTGGGCCGGGCTCTCCCCTTGCCCCTGTGGCCAGGCAGGTGGTCCCTGGGTGGGGGCCACATGCCTGGGCTGCTCACCTGGCATGGCCTCTTGGCTCTCATTCCGCTCCTTGAGCTCCTCCAGCTTGACGAGGCTGGACTGGGCCAGGGATGTGACACCGGGGGTCTGGGGCAGGCAGCAGGGAGGGGTCCTGGCCGCGGGTGAATTCTTGCACTCCAGCAGGAACTTGCGGTCGCAGATGATGCGGGTACCTGCCAAAAGCAGGGGCTGTCAGACACTGCTGGGCCCGGCCACCCCCCGCCCTGAGCACCACAGCCCAGAGCAGGGGGTGGGACCCAGCGCTCGACCATGGCTCGGGGACACATCTGGCTCTGGAGCCACCACGGTGCTTCCCACAGGGCAGCCTGTGACACCCGTCCTGCCCAGCAGCTCTTCCCCACATTGTTCCTGCCATTGAGGCTCCTGGAGCTCTGCAGGGCTCAGCACAGGGGTCCAGCCTCCACAGGTCTGGCTGTCCCTGGAGGGCAGGGCCAGCCCAGGGCACACAGCTTGGCCCAAGCCTGGCGGCCAGGCAGCTGCAGCTCCTCGCCCAGGGCCGAGCAGCAAAGGCTGGGTGTCCCACAGGGGCACCCTGGGGACCCTCCCATCAGCTCATCCAGCCTCCTGCTGCCCCCTGCACAAGGGCAGCAGCTGGGTTTGATGGGACACCTCCTCCTCCAGCCTGCCAGGTGTGCAGTGCCCACCTGGGGCACACACTGTCTCCCCCCCATGCCCCAACTGCCTGCCAGCATCAGCCCATGTGCCACATCTGCTGCCCTGCCCGGCCATCCCTGCAGCAGAGCACCAGCTCCTTGCCAGGCTCTGGCAGCAGGTGCAGCCCAGGGTGCCAGGGAGCCTGGAGCTCCTGCCTGAGGTGCCAGGGAACCCAGAGCTCCTGCTTGGCACCACAAACATGTTACACAGCCCATGCTTGCCACAGCCCCATAGCACTGGGCCGGGCTCCTCCAAGCCAGAGCAGCTTAACCAAAGGCACATGATGGAGCCAGGGCCCACAGGATGGGCGCCTGTGGCTCAACCCAAAACATACCCAGCTCACACACTTCCCTGAGGACAGACAGCAAAGAAGAAGACCTGCTCAACAGCTGACCCAAGGGCTTTGCTGGGGCATCAGAAGGGGGCAGGAGGGCAAGGGGGAGCTCTGCCACCCGGGGCTGCTGAACTCAGGTGGGAGCAGGTTCTTATGTCAGCCCCCGTGCCTCCCCCTGAGCCAGCCAGCCCTGAGGGACCAGTGCTGCACCCACCAGCCCAGTGGACTGCCACCAGCCCACTCCCCAGCCCCTGCCTGTGCCTCCCTGCACCACGGGGCAACGAGAGCCCGAACTTCGAGCAGGATCTTCCTACAAAGCTTCGAGGTTCCCTTTTCCACCTCAGCTCTGGGCTGTCACCACCCCATGGGCCTGCCTGGGTCTGGTGTCCAGAGCAGGTGCCTGTGTCCCCAAGGACAGAGCTGCACAGGGAGAGAGCCCAGCAAGGGAAAGAGCTGCCCACATGAGGCAGGGCTGGGGTGGCCCAGGGCATTCCAGGGACAGCCCCAGCCCCATGCTCGGTCTTGCCCTGCAGTAAAATGGAGAAGAGTGTGTCACCCTGGAACTGTAGCCCTCTGGGCTGGGGTGACAGGGGCTTCCTGGGATGAGGCAGGAGGACATGGCAGTGCTTTGCTGCAGCCAGGGAGCCCACAGAAGTCAGCACCCCACCCCTCTCCTGCACCTCACCCTGAGAGCACACACCTACTGCACCACACCACCACTGTTTTTCAATACAACTGTTGTTAAGACACGTGGCAGTGGGTGGGACTGGGTGATCTTAAAGGTCCCTTTGAACCCAAACCCTTCTCTGACTGATTCTGTGTGTCTCCTTTGGTGTCTGCACTGTCAGTGGGGTAGCAGCAGTTCCAATTTATTTTGCATTCTTCCTCAAATACCAGGAAAAATATCTGAATATACCATCCAGTAGTGCTTCTGAGGTTGATCTGCCTGCGGTACTCAGACATTGCTTGTGCACTGTGGTTTTCAAGTACTTCCTCATGCTTTTCCTGGGGAAATTCTGCTGCTGCATGTAAGAATTTGTCTGGATAAGGTGGAGGAAGGTGAAGTCTCCACCTGGTCTGAGATCACTGAGGGTGGTCCTTTAGATGGATACTATGTGCATTGTAGTTCCCTGCTTAAGGAATGGACCCAACACTCGTGCACTGCCTTGGAGCAAAAGCAGAAATAAGCACAGTCCAAGTGCAGAAAGTGGGGAACTGGGTCAGGAATTAATGTTCATCTTAAGCAGAGTGCAAAAATCCTCCTCTTCTTCACAGAAAAGACTCGAGGAGCTCTTACCAGATTTAAAGTGTTACAAGAAGCTTATAATTGAATCTATTAGGTTTTCCTCCAGTGGGAAGCATTTAGTTCCCAAGATCTGCTTCTGGGCAGCTGGTGAAGGAACTCTGCATTTACCTACCACTGCTGTCAGCCCTTGCAGCCCTGAGCAAAACCTCATCTCTCAGGCAACCCACCTGCAAAAGGAGCTCTCAGAGCAGCAGAACTAATCCAGAAGGACAAAAAGGTAACACAGAAGCAGGTTCACACCAATAACAGGCTCACAATTGGCAGGGGGAAGGGCTCTGCAGACATCAATCACAGACACCTGCGGCTCCAAACCCTCCCAAATCCTGACTGCACCCATGTGCTTGGAATGTGGCCCTGGGATGTGTCACCAGGCACGGGAGCAGCTACTGAGGACAGCAACATCCAGCCCTTTCCAAAATTCTCACACACAACCTATGAATGCTGTTTGCCTTTTATTGAGTATTCAGGTAAATATTTCACATTAATACAGGCTACATAAAGTAGAGCCACTATACGACATGAAAATTTACTCAGCTTTTCCTTTTAAGTCTGTAAACAATTAGACAGGTATTTACCACCCTAAAAGGTTGAACTCATGTCATCTGCTAGTTCTCTGCTGCATACAAGGAGCATTCAGTAGTGTTTAGCCAAAAGCACTAGTTTTGTCTGATTTTTTAAGTTTAAAGTGGCTAAACTAATTGGAGAACAGAATCAGTTTTTAAGGTAAAGTCAATTTGTTGTTATACAACGGGCAATCAAGTTTCCATTGTTACAGCCCACAGAAAATCACTTAGGCACATGAAAAAAAAAACCCCAGGGTTCTTCAAGGTCATAAAGATTCCCAAACCAGGCTAAAAAAAGGACAGACCCCCTTAAATCAGTTGACGTACTTGAGATGCATGTTTCCAATGTGAGGTGCCCAGGTGCCAGGCCAAATCTACAGCAAGAAATAAAAAGACAAATCTATTATGAAAACAAATAAAGGTTCCTTTAACAGTGTTTAACCACTGAGGGAGAGCGTAAGGCTTCCCCCAAAATACAACCAGACTGTCCAAAGGCAGGAGCTCTCCAGCTCCAGCCAAGGTGTGACTGACAACCTGCAGGGTGCTGAGCACAGATATAAACCCTCTCACGTGTAACAGTCCATTACCTGGCTGAGCAGTCTTGAAATGCTGCTTGTTTTACCTGGAAGGTTTGGTACTGACAGCTCCATAGATATTTTATGAACACACACACACACAGAGAGTAGGGAAAAGTCATGCAAACAATCTCAATTCTAGTTTCAAAGAACTGAAAGAAACCAAACATGTCACCAATCCAAAAATGGATATCACACCACCGCATAAAGCCCCGGGTAAGCACGGGTGGGAAAAGGCAGCCACACTACCTGCTGAGCATCAGTACATTCTGTTGAGTTCTGGACAACTTTGATCATGGGATTCCAGGCGGGATCTGGAGTATGGAGCCCGTTAAAGAGGGGCCCTCCTGGGCCATCTGCCAGCTGGGGGTGCGAGGGGATCAGGGTGCCGCCGTACATGGAGATGGGCAGGCCCTGAGGGGACAAGAGAGCACTCGGTGAAGGGTGGCTGTAGGACCACGTCTGCCCAGGTGACAGAGGCAGGTCACACCCATACAGAAC